AACAAGATCCCCCCACAAAATTATTCTCGCCAGCTAGACAATGGCTATTTACATAATAGACCATTTTCGAGTTGCTATGTGATATTTACGTCAGTATGTCGGTAAAATCTTCATCCATCATATAGTTCTTATCTACTGGGGTATATCAAACAATTCTCACTAAAAACAGCTGTATGAAACATAACTCTTTATCGCACTAAGTCTTTGCATGTACAGATAAATGTTCAATTTGATTTCTAAGTACCTAAAAAAGATGTGATGCAATATATTTGCTGACAATTTGAATTACAGTATAATGCACAAGTCAGTAGCTGCATTTTGAACATGTCTGCAAGCTGCTGACATGATGAATCAAACGGCAGACGCACATATCTTTTCATTGCTGGCATATTGAAGTACTGTGAAATACTTTATTTTCACTGAAAAGACTTTTTGGGTGTTTTGTATGGATTTTCAGTTTAACTGATTTTTAAAACTTATGTAAAACATAGAAAAACAGGTATATTCACTGGATTTTATTTTTACTGAATCATCCCTTCAGCGAAAATTACGTATTTTACAGTATGTTGTTTGCTAAAACATTTTAGCATTTGACTTACATTTTCTCCCAATACTGCAAAGGCGAGCCATTTAAAGCCAACATATTGTAAGCAATTTCCAGTAATGCTTCTGCCCATTCCTAATAAAATATGCAAAATTAATGTTAATACTTATATTAGTTTTAGAATAAGACAGTTATAAACTATTTTAGCTATGGGCCATGCAGACCTTGTCAAAAATGACTATTTCATCATAGGCAAAGTGGTTTACAATATATGTATTAGTCTGGAAAATGATGCTACCAGTAACAGAAAAAGCCATACAATTTTACATACTGCAGTTATATATTTCAGCGAGGGAACAATTACATAATATTCAATAAATGAATGTCACTCAAATTTCTTCTTTGTACTGATCACAATAATTACATTTGGTACATTTAGTTTTTCATTACAAAAATAATTAATTGCAATTTTTGATCAACCATAAAAGCATTTCGGTTAATATTGGATATTGAACATCTTTAATTGCAAGAGAAAAAGGAAGACTCTAAGGTGCCCGAATGTCGCATCATCACTATCAAATAATTTCCTTACGGGTACAGGTAACATTAGTGAATTGGCAGCCATTAAAATAAAGAGATTCCCTCAACATTTATCATGTGGTTTTATTTTATTCAAATACAGCACCTGAACAGATATAATTTCCCACAAAAATTGGATCCATGACAATAATAATAATAATTTTTATGAGCAATTCATGCACAGATAAAAAATTTATTGTCATGCACCTCTATTGTTTGTGAACAAATAATATATAGAACAGTCAAGAACTTTCCTCTGTTTCACTTCATATCATCTTTAGCTAAAGATAGGGCCAGAAATGAAAACCCATATTACCTTTGCAATAGTCTCTCTATTGGCACAGAAATTCAACATCTGCGTTTGCACAAAATCGGGTCCATACACAATAGTTATGCTCTTGTCTTCAAGGAAGACATCCGGGCTTCCCATCGTACATGTGTCACGTAATTTCCCTTCCTGCAATAATGATAAATATAATTTTGATTTAGTACAGTAAAAGTAGACACAAATTGTTATGAAATGTATACACGCTGACAGGTATATCTGAAAAATTGAATTTTGATATTTCAGCCAGCCTTGAGATAACAATTATTGATAATAATATATAGCAGCTTTAAATAAGTAGGTCACACATAATTCTCATGTTGTTAAACAGAAGCCTAATGCAAGTTCAGATTTTCAAATAAAAAAAACAAAAACAAAATTATGAATAACAAATATTTCAGGTTCATGTCCAGGTTTAAGTTATTAATATTTAAAAGCTGAAAAAAAGAAAAACATTTTGGGCTTTTGAAATTTTGATAAATATAATTTTATAATTGTTATATAATATAATAATTGTTACATATGTTTTATACTTATTCAAATTATTAAACAAGAACAGATATATAATTATAGATGCCCAACTAGATCAAAACACAATACTATAGAATAGTTGATTTTCAAAGCATGTCTGCATCTGTTTGATTGTAATCTATAATGAAGGTTGAATCGCAAATCATCTTCTGTCCCCTAAAGCTATTGTCATGAAATCTGAATCAGGATAATGCCTATCCCATTATAGGATATTTTGATCTTTATCTGGTTTATTGAAATAAAAACTAAAAATCGGGTTTTAAATTAATAAATAACGAGAGCTCAGAGCATTTTTATTATATATAACAAGCTATATCAAGTTTGAATAAAATCTGTCTCAATACATGACTGAGATTCAGATCTGGAATTGCAGAAATGCTAAATTTTGATGAATTTTTACCCTTAAAACAACCTCAATTCGGCCCTTTTGAATATGATCACCAAATGAACAAATATGCGACATGATATAATAATAATAATAATAACTTTATTGACATTATTCATTTTTGAAAAGAACATAGTCAAACACTACTCTAAGAAACAAAACAAAAATTACAACAACAAAAAAGAAGAGATGAAAATAAATATATATGATTTATGATGTTTTAAAGGGCTGGAGGAAACAACTTAAACCCCTACTGTCTGTCAATTACTGAAATATAAAGGGTGATGGTGGCCTGACTCAAGGTTTCAACGGGGGTGTCAAGTCACGACTTTACATAGGTATTTCTTGGCCAGTCCCCTCTAGAAAACTTGCTACATGGAGTTGAATCCATCACTCGGATCTCTAGTTCTCAACTGAACAGCATGTCCGAGCGAAAGCTATCTGTCCATAGGTGAAAAACTGTGTCAAGAAAGGTGAAACCAAGTCAAGGGTTGCATGATATCCAGCAGTAGGTGAGTCAACTATTCGTGGGTGAGTAAAGAATAAGAAAAGCTGAGAAAAATTGTATTTGAAGTTGACCAAGAGGCGGACTGAACAGGAATTGTGTAAAATTATCCAACAATGGTTTCTTCAAGAACGGTCCACTCTCTGGTCCCATCATTCAATGCAAAGCCTGCATCTT